CAAAAAAAAGAAAGAAAAAGAAAGTTTGGTCTTTTTACATGTTTTATCTACTTGAGATATTTAAATATTTTATTTTTTTTTTTGATTACATAAGCAAAGATATTTTGCAGTCTGCCATTTTTATTTATTTACAACAAAGTTGTTGAAACTCATCTTTTTCTCTTATGGTTGCGTGGGAAAGATGTGTTACCCTTTAAGATCATTGGAGCTTAAAATATTAGCTTGTAACTTAACATGCTGATGAGTTGCAGTAGTTTGGTAAAAACCTTTGTGAATATTAAAAATTCAATAAAGTATGGTTAACAATATGTTTCCATCATTATAATAAAATACAGATGTGAAATTAATGATATTCTAATTTGGAGATTAATTTGATAGAACGCACACGCTCAAACCTTCTAAAATGTTTGTTGAATTCTAATTCTGAGCAAGGCTAAACTCTAGAGAATGAAACAGTTAACCAGGTCCATTTCCTGCCCTCAGTGAATGTACTATTTAGAGAGAAGATAAGATAGAAAAGCAACTCTAATCAGAAGCGAGGTGGGAAATGGCACATAACATAAGGAATTCGGAAAAGGCATGTACCACTTCTAGCAAGAGATAAAAGAAGACTCTGGGAGGAGCTGGTGGCCTTCAAGTTATTTCTGGAAGAATGCTATGAGAAGGGAATCCTTCTGGAGAACAATGTGTGAAGTATATGCAATTTAGAGACCACTTGTATTTCACGTTTTTATGGAGTAAAAGACACTTTAAAGCTTGGCCTAGGGACTTAACCAGAGATAAATCCACTCTAGCTACAAAATCCCCCTGGACATCGTGTGCCATTCTGACCTGAGGGTACTCACGCTTGCTGATCCCTCTGCCTGGGATTATTGTGGTTTAGTTGCTAAGTTGTGTTTGATTCTTTTGTGACACCATGGATGGTAGCTGGCCAAGCTCCTCTGTTCATGGGATTTTCCAGGCAAGAATACTGGACTGGGTTGCAATTTCTTTCTCCAGGTGATCTTCCTGACCCAGGGATCAAATCCACCTCTCCTGCATTGACAAATGGATTCTTTACCACTGAGCCACCAGGGAAACCTGACTCTGCTATACTCATTACCATATAATATACTATATCATTCTCATGGATATTTTTTATCTGTTGCCCCTCACTAAAGCATATGCTCAGAAAGGCATGGATATTTTGTTTCTTACCCCCCAAACCTGTAACAGTGCTTGGTGCATAGAGTGCATTCAGTAGATAATTATAGCACCATTGAATGAAAGAACAAATGTAAGAGAAATACAGTGGTTCCAAACAGTTCATTTTGAAACAATTATTTTAGATGGCGACACAGTTCTAAGGTGAGTATGCGTGTTCTTTGCAGGTGGCAGGCAGCTTTTGTCTGATGGCTGTGATCACCTGTGTAACCGTGGGTAAGGCACCTGACCACTTGGTGTCTCAGTTTCTGCGTTTGTAAAGTAGGACAACTAAGTCGCTGCCTCACAGGATTATTGAGTTAATATGTTTGCATGTATCTGGCATAGACCAGTTGCTATGGAAGTGTTTGCTATGATTATTTACTTTTTTAAAATTTTTAATGGACTTGAGTTTGATTTGTCTATCCAGTGTGTCTCCAAAGACTCTGAGGACAAACCAGATACTTTGGGCTTTTCTTCAAACATTTTCACTATTTCCTTCTGCGTGGACTATGCAGGCTTTTACACAAACACTTGTCTTTAAGTCTCCCCACCTTTAGCACCTCACTCTGGTCACCTTTTATAGGTAAACTTTTCTCATCTTAAATTCCCTCATCTTCTTTGTGCCCACACTTTTGGGTATGGAGTATGTGCTCAGCCTGCCTCTCTGTTCATCATTGTCTTCTTTGGCTCTGGTATTTCTCCTGGCCTTTCTGTTCCAAGGTATAGTCTATTCTTTCTGTTCTTCATTGCGCCAAACAGAACTGAATTTCATCATTCTGCAACACCCAGTCATTGCCATATGCCTTTCTGTCCCTGACCGTGAAATCTATTCTTTATTCTTTATCTGTCATGCAAACAAACAAAGCGAGAAACAAAAGCCGTGCTTAAATGTTTCTAATTGCCATTTTCTCTGCTTAAACAGATGATGAGAAAAGGCCGCTCTCTTCTTATTCAAGCTCTTGCTTTATTTGGCCTATCCCTACTTTCATTTTCTCAGTTTAGACCTAAGAATCTAACGGAACCCCAACTGTTTCTCTTAGATGTTGAAATTAAGTGTTTTCATGAAGTTGAGTTTCTGACTATCAGTGTATCCAGTGGCTCTTGAGCAACACTTCAAGATTTGTCTCTTTCCCATTCCAGAACCTGGAGATCAAGGAGAACAGGTCCACAGAGGCTCAACTTCCAGGTCAGGTCCTTCTGCTTTGGGGAACTGGATGCATCCCCATGACTTTCCTATCCCTGGAGCCACTGGGGAGCTCAAGGCTGCTGCCCAGTTTCTGTACTTCAGAGCGAGCAGAAAAGCTGCCTCTAGGTAAGAAGTGGATCCTGTCAGTAGCAGGGACTCATTTTAGGTACTTAACAAAATGGGAAAAAAAAATGTTAAACCAATATTATTTTTATATAAAAGATCCTCCTTTTTGCTATGATGCATTCCTGGATTCAGCAGCCAAAAGTGGAAAAGTGAAAAATGGGCTATCTTTTCTCTTATAGACTATGTTCACTCCATAGCTGACAGTAAGTTAAAAATACTTGGCTGGTGAGAAAGGTGAGAAATGGATGATTCAGTCCCTCCAAATTAAGAACCTGCTGCTGAAATGGAAGGCTGGTCAGATCCAGTGTTGCAAGACGTTGTTTTCAGGTTCTTTCCTACGAGGCAAAATTCAACGTAGTGAGAAGCAGGGGCTGTCTGTATCGAGACATCAAAACCTTTGCAAAAGTGACGAAAAATGTCAACGTGATAATTTTGTAGAAAAAGAGTTTAACTCTTCCTCCTAATTAGAAGCACTAGGGAGAACACATAACATAGATGCTCTTGTGGCTCACTCGGGCCCTGTTTGCTTAACACTTTCCCCTCATCGGGTGCTTTGTCTCATTTTAGATGCTACCACCAGATGTGTCTGTGACCCTGGCCTGTTTGCCCTCCCACAGCATCTTATTTTTTGCTCCTATTCAGGCAAGGTGTTCATTGTGCTTATGAATGCCTCCCCACTTTTCTTAATGCATTGTTTCAAACAGTTCTCCTTGGCACTCAGGTGAATTTTGACTTTGTGTTTTTCTTAATGCTGACACATCAGGCTCCGCTGGGTTGAGAGCTCCTACTTTTTGACTGTTAACTTCTATTTCCTCACCTCTTCTATTGTCCTTTTTGCCAAAACCAACTTCCCTTTTATTTTTTTGAATAAGTGTTTATTTTAGAGTTATTTTAGAAAAATACAGAAAAAACAGAAATATAGTCCAGGGAGTTTCCATGGCCCAGTTTCCCCTGTTGTTAGAATGTGACATTACTATGGCATACTTGAACCCATGTTGATACATTACTTTTAACTAAAGTCCATACTATGTTCTTAGTTTTTTCTTAATGTCATTCTCCCCTTCCAGAATCCCATCCAGGACATCACATTATGTTCAGAAATCATGTTTCCTTAGACTCCTTTGACTGTGACAAAGCTTTTTGCTTTTTTTTTTTTTTAAAGGCTCTTCTGGTTTTTGAAGATCTTGACACTTTTGGAAAGTCCTACTAGGGATTTTGTAGAATATCCTTCAATTGGGATGTATTTGTTTTCCTCATGAGTAGACTAGGTTATGAGTTTTGTGCAAAAATAAAAACAAAACAAATAAGCAAAACACAGAGAGAAATAATACACCATACTCATTACATCTTATCAAGGGTACATGGTGTGAGTGTGACTTATCACTGGTGTTCGCCTTAATTAACTGATGGAGGTAGTGTTTGCCAGATCTCTCCACTGTAAAGGTTTTCTCCCCACCCCAACCTCCCTTCTTTCACAGTGTATACGCTTCCTTACTGTGCACAACTCATACTTAAGGAGTGAACGGGGAATTATGCTCAACCTCCTAAGGGTAAAGTACCTATGGGGAAATTATTTGAAATTCTTCTGCAAGGGAGATTTGTCTATTTTGCTCCATTCATTCATTATTTAATATTTTAAAATTTAATATCAGTATATATGCATGATTATATGTTTTGTATTTTTGGTTATAATCCATTGCTACTATATTTTGTTGCTCAAATGGGGAACCAACTTTATCTTTGAAGAATAATTTGTTAGTACCCCTCCCTTAACATTCTTGATTGTTTTAAGCTGGATAGTATAGTTTAGAGTTTAAACCATATCACCTGAGTTCTAGACAGCTGTTTACAAGGCTTCCTTTCAGGTCCTTCCCTTCTTTCCTCTTCCATAATCTTAGACATTTATAAAAATTCTTTATGTATAGAACCCTGCTGATGGAAAAGCTTCAAGTTTTAGAAAGCTGCACGAGCTCGTTGAATAACTACCTACCCTCAACTCCATTTTGCCAATTTAGTTAGTATATGAAATGGTAATCAATACCAGGCATATTGCATAGAAACAAGAGACATAAAGATACAATAGTTATTTTCTTTCATAGCTGGTTTGTCTAGTTTGAATTTTCTAGATACAAAAGATAGAATATCAAGTTGTCCAAAATATAATGAAAATCTATTTCCAGAAGTCTTTTTAAGGGCAAAGGGACATTTTGAGCCCATAAATCTGTTGCCTGGTGTAGATTTTTTCTTTATTATATTTTGCAAGTTCATCTTGTGCCAGAAATGCCTGTGTGACCCCGTGTGATTGAGTTTCTGAATTTTCACTTTCCTACCACACCCAACCAGTTGGTTCCTTTGTCTGAGTAAGGGATGGCTTATAATTATTTGATTAAAATGTTCCATCTGTTATAATGGTCTTCCCTTTTGAGTTACCAGACACACGTGCCATTCCAGTTATTAGAAGTGGAGGTCAGAAAATCTGTACTTCCTCCCTAGACAAATTTACCCTTTTAAATGTTGTTCCCTGGTTGTCTGGAATCCAGCATTCTTTAGGAGCAATTTCCACCTTGTTCTGCGGCAGTCCCTGGAATACAAGAAAGGAATGACTCTTGTTTCATCCTGGCTACCTTGCGGTGGGCCTTCTCAGTGTCTGTGATGCATGATGTTTGCAAAACCAGACCACTTTCCTGTGACTCCATGGGGGCTCCCCAGTTTATTACTTCTCTGGTCTAGCCCTTCCAATGTTAAACAATGGTGTCTGACACATGCATGTGCTCTGCAGTGTTGAAGTGGTCATTTTTTAAAGTTCCATGGCTCATTTCACAAAGAAATTGAAAGTGACAGACTAGTAGGTATTTTCTTTGGGGCCCATTTATGTAAATGTTTTAAGATTGCTATGATCACTCACTTCTGAGTCCAGTAGTGTGTAGAGTACACAAACATACAGCTGATTGTGTAGGGTCAGAGTTAGCACTAATGGGGGTGGTGCTTGCAAAGGTGCTACCTTCTCAGCATGGGAGGCTGACAGTGCCTAACATAGCAGACAACATTCGTGTTAGAGGCTTATATGTGCCTGATCTCTTAGTCTTACACCAAGAGATCTTGGAAAAAGACTTTGGGTTTGGGGATCTGTTCTGAGCTCCAGTTCAGGCTTTGCCTCCAACTGGTTTTGAAATCAACCACAAGCCACTAAAACTCTCCAGACCACTGCTGCCTTTATTGCAACTAAGCAGATTAGACTAAGATGCTTTTAGCTCTAAGGTCCTGTGATCCTTTATTATTTATTTATTTATTTTTAGCAAGTAACTATTTTATGTATTTACCAGCAATTTGAGGCAGACATGAATGAACAGGAATACTTGGAGGATGATCGTGATTGAAAAACACTTCAAAGTATCCACAGTCCAGTCAGAATGCTATGGAATTATATAGTATAAACAACTGCTCGGTGATATTTCCATTTATTTTACTTATAGTAATACAATTTTTTCTATCTCATACATGATATTTTGCTTTAAAATTAACAGTCACAATTGAAGAAACAATGGTTTATTTTTCTAATCAAGTGACCAAGCTGCTGAATCTGAAGGCCTCAACAAGTGTTGCATTTTATTATTTTCATTGAACAATTAGACCTTCTATTTTGATTATTCCTGTATATAACAATTTTGTTTCTCCAGTTGTTTCCATTTGCCAGTCATGACAGATGGTTTAACATGGTGGCTACTGCTTTTAGAGGATTCCATCAGGTGAATCCTCATTTCCAGTGCAATAGCTGTTGGCAATTTTTCATCAAAAGTCCATCCGTTAGGACTTCTCTATCGTGGCTGGCCAAGGAGTCCTGCTTTGGCAGCTAGGGCTTCATTCTGCTGAATATGATATTCCTGAAATCTCATAGATATTCGTTGAGTCATTTTTAAGTACTTCTGTAAGCAATGTTCTGAACAGGTAGTCTCTTCTGGTTTTACTTCTCTTGTTGTGAAGTCTTTAACACAGTCCAAAAAGCAGGTTTCTGTAAGTCTATTGTAGGTTCCAAGAAATTCTTTAAACTGTTTTATCTGATCAGATTCTGGTATTTGTGCAGCCATATTCTTTTGGTACGTTATTAGTCACCTTTCTTGATGCATGGGTTTCCTTTCTGTTCTGGAAAAGGAGTTGTCCAATCTTTGCTTGAATGTCTCCAGTAAGGCCTGATTTCTTACTTAAGGATAGACTCGCATCCGACACCAAAAGAGGCTGGGGGGCTGCGTTGCCAGTCGACTCTTGGGGAGGGGGGCGGAGGGTTTGGGTCAGGGCATGCGCCTCAGCCGCTGGATGAAAGAGAACACCTCCTGTGATCCTTTAAAAGATTCTGAAAAAATGTTCACATAGGTGTCTTATTTGCCAGATTAACATAGGATTGAATTTTGTGGATATTAAAAAAATAAATAAAGATAGGTTTAACCATTTCTCTGTTACTGAAAACACAAGCAAGATGAAAGAATAAAATGACTTTGAGTGCGTTCCTTCCACACAGGTTTGTTATGTGCACAGTACTAAGAGTACAATAGTGAATAAAACACAGTCCCTGCCCTCAAATGTCATAAAGTTTAGACATGAAACATGTCAGCCCTTCCCCCTCTTCTCTGTACTCCTATCCTCTCCTGAAGGAAAACTAGAGCTGGCATCAAATCTCTTGTTGGCTTTTTCCAAAAGCTCCAACATCCCAGGGTTGCAGATGGGTGGGGCTTTAGGAGCTAAAGTAAATTCAAGAGATTTGAACTGCGGTGCTGGAGAAGACTCTTGAGAGTTCCTTGGAAAGTAGGAGATCAAACCAGTCAATCCTAAAGGAAATCAACTCTGAATATTCATTGGAAGGACTGATGCTGAAGTTGAAGCTCCGATACTTTGGCCATCTGATAAGAAGGGCCAACTCATTGGAAAAGACCCTGATGCTGGAAAAGATAGAGGATAGGAGGAGAAGGGGATGACAAAGGATGAGATGGTTGGATGGTATCATTGACTCAATGGACATGATTTCGAGCAAACTTCAGGAGATAGTGAAGGACAGGGAAGCCTGGCATTCTGCGGTCTGAGGGGTTGCAGAGTCGGACATGACTGAACGACTGAACGATAATAACCTAACAGTGACAGTTCCTCTCGTTTCAGCATTGTCAGGTTTTTGGATGATATGTCATTATCCAGCCCATTTCTTACCTAGCTCCCAAGCTGTTAGCACATACAGTGCCTTTTTGCAGATAAGGAAATGTATCCCCTCTGGACAAACTGCAGATATGTGGCTCCTCTGTGGACTAAATAGGGAAGGCCCCCTTCCTACAGGCTAATTGAGCCTCTCATTGGGGTACGTTGTGCCTTGGCCACCATCTCGGCCCCCTGCCCGGCCCCTCAGAGGATGCCCCACAGAACCTCCACCACTGCCCCCTGCAGCCTTGCCAGCAATCCCCTAAGAGCCTCCCTTAGCACAACGCTGCTCCACAGACTTTACCAGGAAGGATGTGCTCTCTTGAATTTGCTATCCTAACAGCACCAGGCAGTTAAGATAGTGTCTATTTCTTCATGTTTAAAATACGGCACCATATGTGTGAGTTGCCTCAGGGTTTGGGTGACAAGGCATTCTATTTTTGTCAGATTGTTCTGGTTTTCACTCCCTATTTTCCCCCCACTGTGTCCTGAGAAGTCCTTCTGAGTAGCAATGCGTCCCCTTTGAAAAATCAAACCACGCCTGGAGGATCATAGCCCTCGAAATGAGACTAGTGGAATGTTTAGAACCTCGCAGCTGATGGCTCTCTGGAAGCCCGATTCTCTACCATAAGCATTCTGTTTTAATTGGCCTGTGAGTTTAGGCTGATGAGACTAAGTGATCAATCAGGTTTGAATTGTGAGATATTAAAAAAATGGGATTAGAGAAGAAAAAAAAGCACTTGGCAGATTCACCACAGGACAGGAGAGCTGAGAAGTCTTCATCTAACCATTGGATACTTGCTTTTTATTTTTTTCCCTATCCCTTGAATGCTAAGTCATAACGAAACCTACTTAGATGTACTTCCTTGCTCATGTTTCATTGGAATTCATTTTGCAATTCCCCTTCTGTTTTGATCCAGAATTCTTTTCTTTCTATCAAACACAGTAAGCCAGAAATTCTGCCTGATATGAAACATTCAAGAACCAATGAATGCCTGCTATCTAGAAAAGTGAAATGAAACTATTGAGCTCTTGCTACCTATAGACAGTGTTAATATAGTCTTTGGAAAAAACAAAACACAAAATGAGTTTTAACACTGACATGTAACATTAGTTCCATTTAAACATTAGCTACTCTGTTCCTATTTGTACCGTTAAATGGGAGATTGGCCAAGGAGGGCATTTCAGCATGTGGATTTTTGCCCCCTTCTTTTTCGAATGGTTGTTAGTGGGAGGAAGTTCTTGGGTCATCTCAGGACGGTAACTGAAACTGCTTGAGACAGACATTCTTCCAGGGTCTGGAAAGGTTAGGAATTGGGTAAACTTATCAAGCTTGGCTTGTTTTCCAGTTGACTGGCTGTGTCTGAGGTAAATATGGGTGCTCTGCAAAATGTGAAGTCCTGCCATTCATTTACAAAGATCTAGGGGCTTGATTTTGCTTTTTAAAAGGTTGATTTTGTTTCTGAACTTTGGTCAAACATATAAAATGAGTATGAATTGGCTGCTCAACTCTGGGAGCAGGAAGTGTTGTATTTCTTCATGTTCAAATAAATTTGGCTCTGTTCCCTCCTGACTGAGCAAGGATGTTGAGAATTTAATCTCATCTGTTTTTGCCCTGCAACTTCTTTTGATTATTCAAGTAATTTGAGGGTGTTATACCTTCCAGAAAACTTGAGGAAGGGCCTCTGGTCTGGCTGCTGAAGTGGCTCATTGAAAAGCATAGGTTTAGTGGCCCAGTGTACATGTGAAACTTGCCCACTAGATCTTTAGTCTCTGCTGAGTCACAGGGCCCAGATTTTAGACCTAGTCTTCATGTTACCAAGCATAACTAATGTTTGGCATTTCAACTGAGCAATGCAAGATCGTGGTCACAAAGCCCGCTTCTGAGTTGATCAAGGAGCACTGGTCTACCAACGTGGCACCAGAAATGTGGGCCAGGGCTGCTGCCGGGGCTCCCATAGCTCCCTTCTCCTCAGTCAGCTTCTCGACTGTTTGCTTGAAGTGACAGATCACAGTGGGAGGCACAGAGTCCAAGAGCCTGATGGCATCTTTGCTAGAAGCTTTTATTAT